AATTTGCAGCAAAGTGGTTGTAACTGGAAGTTATCATGTAGAGTGAAATAAGCCAGATACAGCAAGATGAACACTGTATGTTCTTTATATGTGGGATCTAAAATTAAGACAAAAATAAATAGTCATGTGTGTCAGTTTTGTGGCAAATAGTGTCTCCTCAAATTTTGTTTTAAATATTTTTCAAACAAATTAATAGGAGTTGTACACTACTATGGTTTTAATGATTTTAAATTATAATTTTAAATTATAATTTAAATTATAATTTATATGAGTAAAGTTGGACATCTTTTCATATAGTTATGTCTTATAGTCCCTTGCCTATTTTGCTGCTGGAGTATGGTCTTTTTTACCTTTTATTTGTTAAATTTTATTTTGTAGATCCATTAACCCTTGATTATAATGTAAATTAAAACATGCTATCTCAAAAAAATCAATAAATAAAATTTAAGGTTAAAAAAAGAAAGAAGTAAGGATGTGAGATGCCAGGCATTCCAACAAGGGATACAGGTGTCCCAAGCCACAACTTAACCCCCAATAACATTGTCTACCATCCAGGAATTCATTTTTATATAAATACAAGGTAAGGGTCAAATTTAATTTTTCTATATACATACACAGTTTACACAGATAATTTATTGAAAAAACCTTCTTTGGCCAATAGCATTAGAGTATGTCATCCATCAGGTAACTATATGTAGGTGATGTGTTTCTGGTCTTTCAATTACATTTCATGTATATATTCATCCCTAGCCCTATGGCAATGTACATTATATTACTTACTGTAACAAACTGAATTAGTTAAATATATCTGATATACAGCCTGGTGTCAATATTCAATAATATTCTTTTATCACCTAAATATTTATTAAAAAAGAAGATCTCATATTGAGTATTTTACACAGATACAATGAAGGAATATAATGAAATGTATGTAGTTGATAAATTCATTACCTTGAATGTGCTGATTTTTCATCACTGTTTCCATAATATTCCTTCAATTTTAGGTATTTTAGTCTTTGTCTTAATTCTTTGGCCTCCACTTCTCTGCAAGTTTGGAATTCAGGGAATACATTGAGAGGGAGACCAATCACTTGAGTGAGTTTCCTGAAACCACCAATTATGTCAGTCCAGTCCTACATGATCCCTGCACCCGCCCTCTCTCACTCTGTCCTCTAGCAGTTGGATTGTGTGTGAGATTATATGGCAGGTGCTTCAGCTCTTGTCTCAAACACAGGACCAATAAGTAGTTGCAGATACTCAGCTCTCTCTAAATTTATCCTTCTTCTGTCCTTAGTGCTTGTGGCTTCAGGGGTTCTCTAATAACTTTGAGTATGCATTTTTGTAACTTGTGTGAGTTTTCAAATTTTTTGGTATGCACTGAAATGTTTTCTTTTACCCAAAGGTGAAGCAGTCTGAAGACTTCTATTTCATTTAGGCCAGTATCAAGATGCAATAGAAATTGACGATCACCTTAACCCTGTTACTGAGATTGAGATGGTTCAAAGCTGGGCTTCAATTGCTGTGAAAGTCAGGATACTTATAATTCGTTTCTGATTTGTCTTCTCTTCTGAAGCGTAGCCCTTTGGCAGCTATAAATCACAGGAAATTATTTGCTAGGGTCCTCTGATTTTTGCCAGCATGGACTTCAAGTTCTCTTCTTTGGTATTGCAAATTTAGCAAAGGGTCTATGAAATTATGTCTAACAGAATCTACAAATGCCCCTAATCCTAAGCGAAAAGCAGTCCCAGTTATTAGGCTTAATTATTGGTGGTCCTACCTATTTCTGGATCTTGGCTCAACAATTATTAATGCCTTGTTATATCTCTAGCACCTTAAAGGAGTCATTTTTTTATATACTTTTTCTCTGCACTCCTAGATCTCCCAACTGAAGAAGCGTGATAACACTACCTAGTTAATACTCCCATCACAAAATGTAACAATAAACAAAAAAAAGTATTAATGAATTAATTTCAAAATGAGGGAGGAATAATTTTTTGGACTAGACAGATTTGGTTTGGCAGTACTCCATTTTATCTGTGTTGCTGTTTTAGCTTTTATGCTTTTGGCTGTAGTGTCAAAGATATTCCCTGTATGGATGTTCAAGTGTTTGGAATGAGTTTTCACTTGAAAAAAAATGCAAACAAAGACACATAAAAGAGACAACCTGTATTTTTATATTCTGAGGTCTCAACTAGAGCCCTCATTTGGATAGCATTCTACTAGCTTAAAATTTTCATTTATACATAATTTTAATCTATAGAACTTTCATAAATACGTGTAAGGTGTGTCCTTTAGGAACATAGTGATATTCTCATTTACTGTTCATAATACTTCAGTCCATAGTTGACATAGTTCTACATTTTACTGTTGAATATGAGTTAACTGTGGGAGAATATAAATACCAAAATGACAAAGCTCAACTAATAACTTAAATATTTATAATCTCCCATGATTTCCATGACTATTCCCTTGTTCACAGTGTTTACAAATCTATCCCCTAAGTAATTCCCAAATTGGTGCATCAGGTTAGACTCCTCAAATGCACCAGGAAGTTTATCATTCCTCCTAGTTGAATCAGCATGCACCTTTTTCCCAAATTTCATGAACCATGTGTTAGTTATCCCTTGCTATGTCAAAACTTACCACGAAGTTTAGCAATCTAAACCATCACACAGTAATTATCTGTCTCTTAGATCAAGAATCAAGGCATCGCTTGCTGGATCCATTTCTTCAAGCCCTATTACAGGATGTAATCCATACGTTGCCTGGAATGTGGTCATCTCAATGCTGAGAGGGGAATCCACTTCCAAGCTTAAATGATTGATGCAAGGTTCAGTTCATTGTGAGATTGGACTAAGGGCCTCAGTTCCTGACTGGTGGTCTGCTATTTGACAGTTCTTGTTTGTTTCACCTGGGCCATTCCACAATGCCATCCTGGATTTCAATAGCAAGGAAGGCAATACAGAGAGTGTTCCAGCAAGGCAGAAGTCACAATCTTCTGTAATCTATTCATGAAAGTGTCACCCCAGCACTTTTGCATATTCCAAGTTAGTAGATTTATACCCATTTCCAGGACATTAGATAAGTTCTGAAATGCAGAAAACCTGACATAAGGTCAGGTCAAGAACTGACCAAAAAAAAAAAATATAGGCAAGTGGTAATTATGCTCACTTAGTCATGACTGATCAATCTTCCTGAAGCAGATCTCTGATCTTAAAAAGGTCATTAAAGATCAACTTGCAGGTGTAGCATAATAGCCTAAGCCTCTGCCTGCACTGCTGGCATACCATATGGGTGCTGGTTCAAGTTCTGGCTGCTCCACTTCCAACCCAGCTCCCTGTTAATGGTCTGGGAAATTAGTGGAAGATGGCCCAAGTGCTTGGGCCCCTGCGCTGACTCTGCATGGATGTTTATGTTGTTCCCTTTGTCTAAAGTACCATGTCTCTTGCCATAATGAGTGACTTTCCCCTGGAAAAGAGAAGGACCAGTAGAAGGCACACTATTTTTCTCTTCAAATAAGTCACTATTCAAAAGACTAAAATGTGAGTATTTCAGGAATAAGGGAAGATTCCTAGAAGTCATTAAACCTTCCAACTATGGAAATATTTTGCCTCAGAAGCAAGTGTTTTTTGTTTGTTTGTTTTATAAGTGTTAAAATACAGAAAAATATCTATTCATATGGAGGATGAAGGAATTTCCAGGTTCAATGTGAGTTAGAATGAAAGGAACCCCAGTCATAAGATCTCCTGAAACTATGAACTTAGGTAAAGAAAGTAAAACTATACTTAACATGCAAAAGTGTGAAAAAATAAATGGTTTTCATATTACAATTTTAAAAATCATACTTGCTAATATTTTAAGATGTAATTATTTCACAAATTCAGAAACCTCCAATTTTAAATACTTTTGCTCTAATTATTTTATGCAATTTTAAAAAATATTTTTTAAAAATTTAACTAATGCAAAAACTGTGCATATTTATGAGGCACAGTATGATAATTTTGATTCTGATATATTGCATAGTGTTCAATAAACTATTAAGTTAGCTAATATTCCAAAATTGAAAATCTATTTTTAAACTAATTAATTGACTTAATCAAAATGCAGAGAGAGCCAGAAGAGATCTCACATCAGCTGGCTCACTCCCTAAATGCCTGCGATAGCTGGGGTGAAGTTAAACTGACACCGGGAGTCAGGAACTCAATCCAAGTCTCCCATGCGAGTAGTAGGGACATAATTATTTGAGCCATCACCTGCTGCTACCCAAGGTGCACATTAGCAGGAACCTGGAATTGAGAGCAGAACTTCAACTTGAACCCAGGCATTATGATATGAAATGCAGATGCGCAGGTGGAGTCCTAAGTGTTGTATCAAACACGGCCCCTAAAACAAACATGTTCACACATGTCCATGGTCAATCGCATGATTCTATTTATAGAAAATGAAAGGTGATGCCATTGGAAAACTCTTTTCCCACTGAGTAGTCCCTGAGAATTCCCATAGAAGGATCTTGGTTTTTACTTCATGTAATCATTAGTTATTGTTCATTTTCAGTTTATTGATGAGGCTGATCATCAGAAAAATTTTCATCTTTCTTTAGAAAAATGTGCAATTGCAACATGCCTATATTCCTATCCTCACTATGTGTCTAGATAAGTTGGAACAAGTAGTGCAATGAATCATTACATGAGTAAAAAGATTTTTAAAAGCATGCCTTTCAGCTTTCTCAGAGAGGGGACGAGGTGAGAGAATGAGACATAGAGAACCATCAAGGACACCAGTATATCTGTTACTTATTGGAACACCTGATTAAATAGGACCACTAGGGGCCAGGGTTGTGGCTTGGTGGGTTAAGCTGCTGCCTGATAACGTTGGCATTTCATATGGTCAGCAGTTCATGTCCTGGCTGTTCCACTTCTGATCCAGCTACCTGCTGATGCCTGGGAAGGCAGTGGAAGATGTCCCAAGTACTTGGGTCTCTGCTGCTAATGTGGGAGACTGGGATGAACCTCTTGGCTCCTGGTTTCAGCCTGGCCCAGCCCATTGCAGTCATTTGGGATATGGGGAGTGAACTAGCAGATGAACTACATCTGGATATCAGAGAAGATCTAATCTGTGGAAAGAAACTGGAGGACTTTTTAAAATGGGAAAAATTTGATAATAGGTAGTTGTTTACTTTACCTAAACTGTAAGGTGACTGAGAACAAGGAGCTTTCTAATCTGTTTCTGTGGTGTGACTCTACTATCACATTCACAGACAAATACTTAAGTAAATGCTTAAATAATTAATCAATAATGAAGTGAATGAATATAATACTTAACCACAGGACTCAAACACATCCCAGTATGTAGAGGGGCCTTAGAACTTTATATTCTAGTAAGGAGTTTGTTATCATGTATTCTAGGAGTATACATTACAAAAACAAGGAGACTTGAGTAAAACTGAACACCAGGATATACCAATTCCCTAAGGAGGTAGAACAGAATTAGGTGCAAGCCCAGCTGGCCAGGCTGTTTCTGCCACATGCATAATGTTCCTCAAGACCAAATAAGGCAGACACAGTGAATTTATTACAGAAATCTAGTGTGATGGTCATACAATGGAGCACACTCCTGTAGATGGGGAATACTTCCTTTAAGAGAAATGAAAATGCCCAAAGTGACAAAAGTTAATTCTGGCACCTATGGCGTTAGATTTTAGATTAATATAAGAAAATTCATCCTATTCTTCCTAGAGCCTGGAGTAAGCATTCATCAGATGGAGCTGTAGTAACAGCAGGATCATCATGATCCCAAGGAACAGGGTCAGGAGTAATTCAACAAACAAGGTAACAGGAGGGTCTGTGATGGGTCTGCATAAGGCACTCTGTCAAAAAAATAAATAAATAAATAATTACCTAAATGAAAGATCTCTATGAGTGAGATCCCAGGGGAAAGAAAGGGCCATCAAAGAGGAGGTACTTTTCTCTGAAGAGAGGAGAGAACTTCCACTTTGACTATGACCTTGTCTAAATAAGATCAGAGTTGGCGAACTCAAGAGGCTTCCATAGCCTTGGCAGCTCATGACAAGAGCCTTGGGTGATTACTGATGCCATAAACATGAGTGTCAAATTGTTAAGTCAAAACAGGAGTCACTGTGCACTTACTCCTCATGTAGGATCTCTGTCCTTAATGTGTTGTACTATGTGAATTAACGGTATAACTAGTACTCAAATAGTACTTTATACTTTGTGTTTCTATGTGGATGCAAACTGTTGAAATCTTTACTTAGTTTATACTAAATTGATCTTCTGTATATAAAGATAATTGAAAATGAATCTTGATGAAGAATGGGATGGGGGAGGGAGCAGGAGATGGGAGGTGTGCGGGTGGGAGGGAGGTTATGGGGGGGAAAAAGCCGCTATAATCCAACAGTTGTACTTTGGAAATTTATATTTATTAAATAAAAGTTTTAAAAAATTTAAAAAATAGTCACTTTGCTAAGTACACCTTCTACTTTATCAAATGTTTAGAAAACTTTCATTAGAATGTTCAGTGTGGGCTCCGTCATTTGGAAGAAATGAGCATTTCCTGGAGTGAGGTTGCCAACATAGAGAAAGAAGACGCCAGAGCAGGGGGTGACCCTGGTGGTCAACAGCAGCAGAAACAGCCCACTGAGCATTTGAGATGAAAGTTTAGAACAGACAGTCTGGCAAGTTGCTTGACAATGTCCTGGAGACATTCAGAGTGCATCCATGTGCTAGCCAGTTACCTCATCCTTAAAATGGGGCGAAAATACTTGTCCTTGGTTCCCTCCAGGGAAGTTATGAAATGTAAAATAATAGATGACCATAATGTGTTTCAAACACCTTGCAAGAAACATGATATATAAGCATATGATATCATGATTACTTCTATAATAAAGAGAAAAGAAAATATTTAAAATAACAATAATATGTACATTTTCACACCTGCAGTGTGTATGAAATATAGAACTCTTTTTATTGTGTTCTGTCTAATCCAGAGCACCTGCATTAAAAATGCACCCCAATGGTCCAATTTCAAAAAACACATAAAATTTAGACAGGTAGTTATTCTTTTATTCACCCCATTGTGCCTAGGTCTCACAGAACATATTTTAAACAATATACTACCACAAAGAGACCACTTCAATACAAATCTCAATAGTGTGGGTTAATAAAAATTACATTTAAAGGCAAACATCTGGCACCTCATAAATATATATCACCTTTCATCAAGAGTTTTTCAAACTCTCCCTATATATATTACACTTATAAGCATTATTAATTCAGCATATTGTACGTTGGTTTTCAAGTAGTCCCAAAGCAGAATTACATATGTAAAATATGTGCTGTAATATCTAGACCCATGCAGATCATAAAGAACAAGACATTAACCACAATGCTAAATCCTTTTGATTTAATGTGTTCTCTTAGCTAGCAGGGGTAATTTTTTAAGCACAGATACAAGAAAACACTACAGTTAAGCTTAAAAGCAGCTATTTATTCTAACTAATTTTTCTGTCTCTTGTGACATTTAGCAAATTATTCTAAGCTTGCATTTAGCTTATGTCAAAAATGTGTCTCAGATATTTTATTCTGGTTTATTTCTACATCTGAAAGAAATTTTAAGAGATGATTTGCCTTTACAAAGGCTGTATCTGTAACACCAAAGTGATATTTTTCCTTCTTCCAGAGGATATTGAAAAAAAGAATATCCTGTAATGCCCTCTGGCTTTTTTCCTGTCATTAATGATGTTACTGTGAAGTTTTTGTTTGTTGTGGTTCAGTTTTTGTTTTCCACAAAAATAAAGATCAATTCTTCTTGCTACGTCTTTAATAAAGATGGAGAAAATAAGATCAGCTTTGTTGTTATATATTTATAATGGTGTACGTATTTATTTCATAAATCTTACTATTTTGTTAAATTAAATCACACTCACTCTTTGACCTATTCTTGACAAGTTGGAGTCAGTTTTGTTTTCTTGTATTTTCATATTTCTCCCTACTTCTTTAAGAAATGAATACCATAAAATGGGCACATTTAAAGCCAACTTAAAGCCATGTGCGATCTCACCAAACCCTTGTAAGGAATTTATTGTTGTTTACCTCCCATGCCTGGATCTCACAGCACTTGCTTATCAAGTATCCCTTGGACTGCCCCTACTGAATAATGACTGCCATAATAAACATGAAAAGTGATTTTCAGTGCACAAGGAAGTTCCCTGTTGGAAAGCCTGAAATTTCTCTCTCTATATCTCTTTCTCTCTCACTCTCTCTCTCTTTCTCTCTCCACAAACCTGTGGTAATGGAGCTCTGAACCAATATGAGGAAATTAAACATATGGGAATTTCATCCTTATGCCTTCATATGAACTTGAAAGACCCAGAGTCACAACTTCTGCAAAGTCTCATTTCAGCCTAGAACAGAAGGCTCTTAGAGAAATCTCTATAGTAAACTTGTATAGATAAATCACTGCATATATGAAATTATTTGAAAGTTCAGAAGAGAGTAGCAGAAAAGACCAGTCAAAAGAGTTGGGTTTTCTTATAAAAACTAAATATTTTTAAATACACAATCAATGTTTCTTTAAAGGAGTAATGGCAATAGTGCAATTATGAGAAAGATAACCTAACGGAAAATCTGAGCCAGAATAAAGAACACAGAGAATACTATAAGCATCAGATTAAAAACCTCATTGAGGCGGAGATCAGCAGATTGAAAAAGCAGAAGTTGATAAGCAACAGAAATTTATTTATTGCTACTCTCAGTCCATATTGCTGTACCTAGGATGGACTCCTGTCTCCACTTCTGATCGACTTTCCTGGTAATGCGTATCATGGGAAGCAGCAGTTTTGACTCAGGTGCTTGAGTACCTAGCAACTACACAGAAGACACAGGTAGCATTCGTAGTTCTGGCTTTTAGCTTTTGTGAGCATTTGGGGAGTTAACCAGGGGGTAGAAGACTTCTCTCTCCCTCTCTTTCTGTCTCTCTCTCTCTCTCTCTCTGCCTTTCAAACAGATATATAAACTTTTAAAAGTAATGCCTGGGAGCTTCCAACTAAAATGCTCAAACTAACAAAGCTACAGGATAAACTAAAATCCAAATATTTGTTTAAAACATGAGAAAAGTGGAAGGAAGAGGTTTGTTTCATATAAAGCACAATTATATTGACAGCATATTTTTTTAAATCAAGAAAAATAAAGTCTGAGGCCAGTATGATATTCAAAGTGTTGAGCCTAAAATTGTGTACCTAGATAAAATTTTGCTGACAAACAATGAGGCAATGCAGGCATCTTCAGAGAGAAGGAGTTTATCTTTTAGAAGTTCTTCCTGAAAGTATCACTAAAAGATATTTTTAAAAAGGAAATAAATTGAAATAGAAAAATGGATGAAAGTTAGATCAAAGAAATTTGGAAAACAGCAAAACAAATTTGTGACGTCAGAGAAAAAATAAATAATAATAAAAATATTGGCAAAGACAAAAATCGTAATGGTCATTTATTAGAGGACATAAAATAAATAAAGAGGAGTGTCAGAAGAAAAAGTATTTTAATATCCTAAGATCCTGACAAATAATGTAGTATCAAAGTACATAAACAATTATTTTCAAAAAAAATTGACAAGGAATTAAATGAAAAATAAACTCTGTAAAACACGATGAGCTCAATAAACCAAGTGGATCAGAATATCATAAAATTTTCTACTAAAGACTCCCAACATCAAAAGATAATTAAACATTTTGCTTCCTCAAATATTCAAGTTTGTGCATATATCCAAGGTACTGATTCTTAGACAAAAAAGTAATAAATTTGATAATAAAATCATCACGTGACTGTTGCAGCTTTATCTAATCTATGCATGTCTCTGAAAGCCTCTGAGTCGTGTTCACTACGGAAAATGTTTTGCCTTCATGGATTTTAAGAAGGGATTTCAAAAAGTTCACAGAAAGTGAAATTAAAAGATAAGTTTGAGGCCAGTGCTGTGGCTTAGGGGGTAAAACCACCGCCTGCGGTGCTGCCATCCCATATGGGCACTGGTTCAAGTCCCAGCTGCTCCATTTCAAATCCATCTCTGTGCTATTGCCTGGGAATGCAGTAGAAGATGGCTCAAGTCCCTGGGGCCCTACAGCCATGTGGGAAACCCGGAGGAAGCTCTTGGCTCTTGGTTTTGGATCAACACAGCTCCAGCCATCGTGGAAATCTGGGGTGTGAACCAGCAGATGGAAGACCTCTCTTACTCACTCTTTACCTCTGCCTCTCTGTAACTTTGCCTTTCAAGTAAATAAATAAATCTTTAATTAAAAAAAAAGTTCATTGTGATACTAAAAGGTCTTGAAATTCATGCATAGCTTTTTTATATTATATATTTCATAGTCGTTTTGAAGATAACTCAGAGAATACAATTTTAGTGTTTCATTCGCTCATATTATTCTCAATATAGTAAATTTACTTTAAAGCTCAGAACTAACAAAGTAACACAAAATATGAACATACATTATGATATAATCACCCTTTTGAGGTTAGATGAAGTACTAGGACATGCTTTTCCAAAGTAATTAAAAGGATGGTACTTCATAACCAACATATATATATATATATATATATATATACACACATACATATACAAACACATGTGTATATACAAATACGTATACAATAAATGTTTCAAAATAGGAATTGAAATTTTATGAATAAGTCATTTAATACATTTTTAAAAAAGCAAATTACCACTGGAGAAACAACAACAACAACAACAACAAACAAAGAAGCTGTCATCACTGTTAAATATAAGAGTGGGAATAAGAGAGGGAAGAGATGTGCAATTC